GGGGGGGGGGGGGTTGCAAAAAAACTTGGAGTAATTAGCGAACGCTTCGTTCCCAAGCCTCCTCATCATGTATTATTAGCACACAGAACACCTTCTTCTCTCGACATTCTCATGTAGTGTCCCTATTGTGGTTCACAGTAAGTCAGAAGAACACGTAAGTATGGGCACGGGTGTATTGAGTACACGCGGCCAAACTGGTTTGCTTTCGTGGCAGGTAAGCAAAACACTGAGTCACATATCCAGTCAACCCACAGCGCTCACGCGAGCCAACCAATCAGACACGCATCCAATCAGCCACTCAAGTCACACGTCAGATCGATGATGGGACGACGAACGGACACGCACACGCGCTACATCTCGGACACACGGAAGCAGCTATTACAGTCCTGTTCGATCGAGTTATCTTGAGTTGTTCTTTGTCTATCTATCTACTGAATGCACATTTCCGTCTTCCTTAGGCCGGACCAGACGCACCAGCTCCCCCACACTCAACTGGCCAGTTGCTCGTGCCAACCGCAACTGGGCACCTAGCGCTGGCTGAACCCCTTCGACGAACTGGTCCGACAGCAATTGGTGGCGCGACACTCCGTCCAGCCCCGGGAAAGCGCGATCCAATGACTACTGCAGGCCGGCGAAGAACACGGTCAGGTCAGATCCGGGTGCCATCCTGGCCGTCTTGAACCCCCTCATAGCCTCCTGGCGGTTGGCCGGCATGTCGAACTCCGCAGCGAAGGCCTTCTTCCTTTCATTACAAATTGTTACATTCAATCTGTTGTAACTTGGCAGGCTGCGTGATTTTGCGTTGGCAAACCTCCGTGTGCAGGTGAGATACGAGACAGTTATACTTAGCATGTCTAATTGTTGCAATATTTTTATATTTGAGTAGGATTTTCTTTCCACTTTCTGAGCATCTTCTAATGTACTTGTCCACGGCATACGCTGCTTTGCTATTCGCCAGACAATTTGATTTTTTTACTTTTACGCACTTGCGGGAATCTTGGAATTCACACGGTGTTGAATGTTCCAATTGCTAATGTGAACACGATGTTCAACAGCATATGTGCTTTCAACACGTCCTAACCATCCTTGCCAATGGCAAATTAATGAACACACGAAAACTGGATGCAAGGTCAAGAATAAGTTAATTAAGTGGGTGAGTAGTGATCAGATAACAAGAGTGGCGTTTATCGATCGATCGATTGTCAGTTCAGTCGAATCGATTGAACCAGTCGGTTCTGCGTACACAGAGTGGGACTCGCTAGCCTGACACCGATCGATCCAACCACGTTGAGTGTCAATCATCAAGCTATTTTGATAGGCTATTTGAAATCCGACAGATAATACTACATGCCTGAGCCAGGTTGACCTGACGACCTTTTTCCAAGTAGTGAACCCAAGGCAACCCCATGTCTCTCTCCTGATGCACGGCACAGCAGGTTACCAGCTTCGCAAATGGTGACGTCGGATGGTAAGCCAGTTAGAATGGCTGTGTGGTCACTCTCCGACAGGTTAGACTATCAAACCAACCACTGGTGACGTTCAATTTGGGCTGGACAATCGTTCAAGTCTCGAAAAAACTACCCAAAAGGATCAGTGAGCCTCAACGACTGCTAAGCTATCATCCACTTGCAATTGGATTCAGGCTCCTAGAGTTAACCAGATCACTATTTCGACAGGCGGTGTTCGAGCCGCATAAAGGCCGCCGGCACCGGCTCCAAAACTCAAAAGCATATGGAAAGAAAAACCAATCTTTCAAGTGGTTTCATTCAGTGAGAAGTTGGGCTGCGAAATGTGTTTTCTATCATATGTTCAATATAGCTTGTATACGAAGGTTTGACTGAACTACTGGGTGAGTTTCTTGGTGACCGTGCTGGGTTTAATGTGATACCGATAATTCTGTGGCATCTGATGCAACGACAAAAAAGCAAGGGAACATTAACTGTCATCATCTTACTCCTTATCGGCAGCATGACATCAACACATCAATACTTTGCTGCAGTACAACCGCGATTCGTTTCCAAGCGTTATCGTAAAGAAGGGAACGAAAATGGACAGACAAGGGACTTAGTGCTAGCCAACACAATCATTTGGAGGTATCCACGTTACCAGACACTGGCAACGAGAACGCCACTGACATCTATCAACGGCGTCTCCAACCAGACGCAGTGGGGATCTGGCGACGTCCCGATCCTCGGAGACAAGTAGCACCGACAGTACCCAGACTTTTTGTGATCTCTGTGATACCTCCCTGACAGGTTGGCCACTTTTCTTCTTACAGCACGTTGATTTAGACACTGAGAACAACACTCTTTTGCAAACAATGGCTTATTTTGCGAAATTCATGGCTTCTGGTTTCGGTCAGATTCTTTGATTGAAGTTCCCGTTGAACGAACGAAATTTCTTGCCTCATTAAAGACTCGCGACACCAAACTACACGAGTTGTGGTTCTGACATAACGGTTGTCGAAGACCTGAAGATGTTTTAGTTCCCCTACTTGAACTGGCCAAGTCCCAGAGCTCTGCAACAAAACATCCAGATACACACGTTCCTTGAGGTTCAGGGATACACCGTTTTGGTACCGCTTTGACTCAAATAAGCAAACGCATCTCGATCCTTAGAGATTGGTGTATCGAACTGGTCTCTCACAGTGCACTGGGAACTGATACAACTTCCAAGGTACGTACAACGTTGCACGACTTCGAATGCCTCTCCCTGGATCGTAAGTAGCTTGTGTTAATGACTGCATGGCATTGCACTGTAGGTGGAGAGACCTGCACCTTTCCTTCTTCGGAGATGAGAAGAAATCATTGTGAGATATAGTTCAGCAAGGTATTCGTCAGTATCTGTTTGGACACCAGGGCTTTGGAGACCTCCCGGCGTTCGTCTGATTGCCTCATTGATCACGAAATTAAGTAGGGATGCGGAGAGCGGCCCCCCCCCCCCAATAGGACACCAAGCTGTGTAAGGACATTTTGGAGGGATTCATATGTACTCTCACACGCGCAGGTGTTTGAAAATACAAAGAATTTAATGTGTACACGAACTTCCGGGGCTCTCCTTGCTGAGCAAACGTATCACGCAGCTTTTCATCTTGAGTGGACTCTGATAACTTGGATAAAGCAAGTGTTATCCAGTGATTTCGCAAATCACGTGACAGTGGACCAGAAATGGGAACTTTGAAATTGGCACCTGTAATAGCCGCTTCGGTGTGTCAGAGAGCTTGCGCGTGTGCGTGTGCGTGTCCGTTCGTCGTTCCACCATCGATCGGACATGTGACTTGAGTGGCTCCGGGGGGGGGGGGCTGATTGGGTGCGTGTCCGATCGATTTGCTCGCGTTACTGGGTTGTGGGTTGACTGGATATGTGACTCAGCTGTTTGCTGGCCCGCCACGAGAGTGGACCAACTTGGCCGCGTGTACTGGATACACCAGTGTCCGTATTTACGTGATCTTCTGAATTATTGTAAACTACAATAGCACCCTAAACATTAGTTGAATAAATCGTGATAGAAACATTTAATTCCTTCCAATCAGAGCACAAAGCCTTGTGGTTTATCGCATCAAGGCTGGTTATTTTCACTCGAAGATTCCATAAATGTACGCGTTTGTTTTAGGCAAAACTCTATAAAAATCAGCGAGAGCATAAATGCAAGGCGGATGAATAAAACTTCAAGAGGTTGTGGATCACAAAGAGGAAATTTTGTGCGTATCTAAAGGACGATACAGCTCTGTCTGGCTGTCGTTCCCATAGCACGAGCGACCAGCTGCGAGCGACCCAAAAATAGTACGAGGTACTTTTAGAGATGGAATCTTTCGGATACAAATTTTAACACTGCTAACTTTGTTCCTCACATTTTGTTTCCAATTTCCGGTTCCGTTCCATTCTGTGGTAGTTGTCATTGGAACTGAAAGTGGGTAGACCTTTTTTACGCTGATATCCAGAATTTAACAATGAAACCTTCATCAGCAAAAGGCGAGATTTTTCCAGAGTTGAACATCGGGCTACCATTCATCACAATTAGGTCAGTTCTGCTGTCTTGATTGTTATGACATTGATTTCGTTTTGTCCACTTTATTCGGACAGATAAAAGACATTTATGGGGTGACGTTTCTATTTTTTTCATCCCCACGAGACACAAAACGTGCTGTTGACAGAGATTTAGCAAAAACGCGGAAGGCGTCGAAAGTGCACAGTTGAATAAGGTGGTAATGGGAGTTGAACTTTCCGGCACAGAATTTCTCTTTGAAAGAAAACTTATGGTTTCCATTGTCTTATTGGCGTGGCTTCAAATGGATCTTGTTTTTGCCCAAGCTTTCTTGTCGTTGGGTTGCTGGTTTCACTCCGCATACCTTCATTACGAAGGCTATTCAAGCATGTGTGGTTTATTCAACCCCCCCCCCCCCCGTGTCTTATTGGCGTGGCTTCAAATGGATCTTGTTTTTGCCCAAGCTTTCTTGTCGTTGGGTTGCTGGTTTCACTCCGCATACCTTCATTACGAAGGCTATTCAAGCATGTGTGGTTTATTCAACCCCCCCCCTGGCTGAAAGGCACCACTATGCCACCTCAAGATATTCAGTTTCTTTTCTGTTCATCTCGCCCACCGAGAAGAGCCTAGAACTTGTCTGGGTATGACGCTTTGTGTGCCTCAGTAACCTACCATTCAACACTCACACACACAGAGTCTGTTCTAACGAGTTGATTGGTGGATAGGGGCCTGAAAAATAGTCTCTTGGCCCTCCTGTTTAGGGGGTCGAACAAACACGATAATATGTTCCGGACAGTCTGAATCCAATTCATGCCTTCCTACGATCGGAATTTTGAGCCATAATCGTCCCCCGGTCTAGATGTGAGCACTATGACAGTATCTCATTCCGCATATAAAAAAGGAATTGTGAAAACCAGTATATTTTCATAGCACATCTGCCGTGACGCTGGTCAGGTCGCCTTTTTGCTGCACACAACAAGGAAGATGAGCCCAGGCTTGTAGATACTGACGCCACCCAATGTGATCTGTTGGGTCGCGCCCTGTTTCACCCGGCGACCAGTCTTACGTAGACTTGTCAATCAGGTACCTACAGGTACCTACAGGTACCCACAGCTCACGTTTATTACTTAACATCCGCCGCTCAGGCTATTTTTCCTCTGTGTGTTTTTCACAGCTGTCAACCTGAGAGGAGACAAGCCAGCAAGCTGCCTTTTAGAGTAGCTTAGATATTCTGTCGAATGACTTTTACTGGAACTCAAATACAGCATCCAATTACAGCAGTTGAAGTTACTGCACCGCCTCCATCTAGATGTTACAGACCACGAACTTCTGATGACCTTGTATCTTTTTCATAAAGGAAACTACGCACAGCCCACGACCGGTTTCGCCCTTCTTGGGGCTCATCAGGCAGGCGCAGTCTCCGAGTTTCCGTCAACCTCATGTTCTACTTGAACCCAAATTGAACGGTTTTGGAGAAACACACTCATTTGCAAATCAATTTGGTTTACACAAAGGATTCAACTGAATCCCTCGTTTATGATATTCTAGAAGGGCGAAACCAGTCGTGGGCTGTCGAAGGGTTTTCAGCAAACCTGTGAGTAGCTTTCTTTATGAAAATATGCTGCGATACCTCGAATATTGTGCCAACTGAAATATGAGGCGGCCTGTGTGCAGTACATTCAGTCGTGGAATATCACAAACGAAAGACTCAGTTGAGTCTCTCGTGAAAACCAAATTGATTTGCAAATGAGTGTGTTTCTCCAAAACCGTTCAATTTGGGTTCAAGTAGAACATGAGGTTGACGGAAACTCGGAGACTGCGCCTGCCTGATGAGCCCCAAGAAGGGCGAAACCGGTCGTGGGCTGTGCGTAGTTTCCTTTATGAAAAAGATACAAGGTCATCAGAAGTTCGTGGTCTGTAACATCTAGATGGAGGCGGTGCAGTAACTTCAAGGACCCTGTATCTTTTCCAGAATGCTGTGTCGGTTTAGGTGTAGCCCTGAATTCACTCTTAAAGTTTTGTCACTCGATTGAATACCTGCAAGCAGCCGCCTGTTTAGCGTCCGACTTTCCGCTTCGACTTCTCTCGGATCGAAATACTGAACAATCTTTCCCATCTACCAGCAAACTGCAGCCCACGTCCTCTGAAAGACACTTTTTTACCGGGAACCGACCATTCACTTGTCCACCACAAACAGCTTGGATATAGTCCAACAAAAAATCATTCATATGTAGCACCCCCGCTCGATGCCTAAATGTTAGGCCACCCGAAAGAAAGGACGAGGGATAGGATACTGTCAGGTTGCCCAAGTCTAGACAGGGGAATTCGGGAGGTAGAGAGGTCGGGTGTGAGCCATGGGCTTTACGGTCAGTAATCTGGCACTCTAACCACTGAGCCAACTCGCCCTGGATATAGTCACAGTGGACGGTGGTTTCAATGAAGAGGTTGGACGTCCCAGTTCATCAGAAACATGTTTTTGTTCTGAAAGTGAATCCATTGGCCGTTGACATTCCATGTTCCCGCATTAACTGTCGGCGCTACTTTTTTCAGTCCGCGTATCCCTCACGTGGAACAAACTACCAACATCTGTTGTGGATTGTGGTAACCTCGAGACTTTCAAACATTCGCTTGACGAATACATAAGATCTCCCCCAACTTCCCTCATCAACATTTGAGATGCAGATTACAAACAATAGAACATATATGTCATATCATTCCGTTTATCTGTATACATACACACACACCAATATCCTTTGGTCATTGTAAAGCAAAATGCTTTTTAGACCAATATAACCTTGATTTACCTTGATTTACAGTCTTAAGGTTGAATGTCGTTTTCGAATTTCGTGCAGATAACCGGTTGTTGCTCAACGATACTAGGCTTAGATACAGTAGGCGTTGTTGAGCTACTGGGCTTCACCCTATTTGGAAGTCAAATTAACCAAACCGTCATCAGCTACCAGTGGTGTTGATCGTTTTGGAACACACAAATCGACTCAGATGACGCTCTCGTTCGGTGCACACGTATTTATCACGTTGTCTCGGACTTCCTCTGAGAGTGTTGACCCTGAATCGAATGAGGTAATCTGATGATTCTGAACGCGCACAAGGTTCCTGATAGAATGCACGCTATCCCTTCCGGTTCAGAATACTATTCGGTTCGATCATCGATCAAATGACTGTTCAAACGTGTGTGTGGACAAAGAGGCGTGGTGGCACCAGATATTCCAGGATGTGGGAGAGGCCGATGCGGAAGAGTGTGGAAGCCTGAAAGGCCTTTTTGTTAAAGATAATAAGTGAATTCTATTGTATAATAGAGGAGAGCACCTGGATCGTTCGGTGGAATACCTAAAACAAGAATTTGGCTGCTTCTCTCCTTGGCTTTGCGCATTTCATTTGACTCGTTCATTTTCGACTGTGGTCCGTGTTGTGTCTTGCTGAACGGTAGTGCAACTCTGTATCGGTCCCTTGGCTTCCGGCTCCGCCCACTACGGTATATCAGAAGGCATGGTAGCTCTATACAGCCCTTTATGGAGGAGTATCCCACAAGGTCGTGCCAGAATCTCCTTGAGGGGGCGAGAAGCGTCGAGTCAAAGGTGCTTGACTCGGATTGGCTGGCATTCTGATCAATCAGGGCATGTCTTCGTCTGGTCCGTTTCCTGCACAGGACATCCATCCAAATGATGTGATGTTCGGTTATTACGGACGGCTGGCCTCCGTACAGCCCGTGAGTTTAGACCCCCTCATTTGACAAGGTAATCATATGCCATTCGGTTTGAAGCACCACTGGGGTGCTGGACCAGATGAACTTTTCCCATCTCCGTACAGTCCGTGGGTTTAGACCCCCTCATTTGACAAGGTAATCATATGCCATTCGGTTTGAAGCACCACTGGGGTGCTGGACCAGATGAACTTTTCCCAGCGTTGTTCAGAGAGGAATCATAGGCATCATTACATCTGCTGTGACTGAGTTTTTCCTACTTACTTTGAGAGCTGGAACGTGTTTCACAGAATGGGAGCCAATCCTTGGTGCTGGAGCAGACAGCTCTAACTAAATTTGCATATGTCTCACGCCTGTCGCAATGTGATTGCTGGCTTTGGTTTGATGCCTATCTTCGGCACGTAAGACGCAAGTCCCAGAACAGGAATGGTGATCACATGTTTACATTACGTTGAACAGCTCCACACATAAAGTCGACCAACACTCACGGTCATTCTCAACTTTCAACTCTGTTGATAGACTAGTTCTCGTGAATATTCCTGGTTTGATCTTGAAGTGCTCTATACTCCACAACACCTAACTCCTTAGAGTGTCCAATAGAAGTCCTAGAAGCTTTGAGAAAACAAATCAAGTTCTTCTCTCCCCATCGACGTTACCATGGTGCGCATACTCCAACGGACCATGAACCTGAAGGAAGAAGTTGCATCTGGAGTGAGGATAATGGACCCAGATTATACGAACATCGACGTTTTTTGTTTGACGATTATTTGTCGGAGCAAATTAGGGAACATCGGAATGTCGCGCCTTCAAGTGGTAACCTGTTGCTTCCCTGAAACTTCAGAATGAAGAGCTTGAATTTGTTGGCCGATTCACTTGACTTGGCAGCTGGATAAGCCGTGATTGTACTGTGACTGCAATTGGTCTTCTATCAACCTCAACAACAGGTTTGATTTTGATCGATTTCCCGACATTTAATGTAGTAAACAATACCCTGTTGTCTCTGTTTGAGCACTAAAACGAGCTTGAAGCTTGAATTTAAAATTTAAACCGTTTTACGAAAGCGTTCTATTCTAATCTGGACATTTTTGTGTCATTTGTTTGTAAGTAAAGCATAAAAACGGAATAAGTTCACACCTTTCCATTCCTGACACTCTTGCGGTTCTCACATCATTTACTCATCTGCAAACAGCTTTCCACGTCCATTTTGCCTGATTCGAGTCAACATCCCTAGTCCAAATGAAAACGGTTACCAGTGTAAGGAAGAAGGCCTTCGCTGCGGAGTTATTAGAAAATGCCAACTGAACAGTAACAGACTAGTGGACAGGGAAGCAAAACTCTCATATACATCTTGTTTACAAAACTTAATATCCATCTTCGACTTGAACGCGCCTTCATGAGCTTTCCGGGATATTTATTGACGGTTCCTCAAATGCAAGCAATTGCGACTCCACAAATTCCATAATAGATCGCACTTTTAAGAGACGCGGAACTGATTTACGGGAAAACGTACTACTCGCATGCCCTCGTCAGTAGTAGATCCACAGTTACACCAGTATCAAGAGGATGTTATCTGCTTTTCTTGAGGGAAATTGCTCATATGGTTGCAGAGAACTCTTCGACAGCCCATGACGTCTTTCGGCTGATCACGGAGGCAAAATTCCCCGAGTTCCCGGCGAGATTGTGTCCTACTTGAACCCAAAATGTACGCGATTCGCAAACGAAATGCACTATTTGCATACCAATGTGAATTTCGGCGGGAGAATCAAACGGATCCATTTGAATCTCTCCCTGATGCTATTTTTTGCCTGGGATTCTGCTGGGTCTCCTGTACAAATTGAATAAATGTGCGAATGCGCTTCGGGAAGGCTTTCTGGTTTCACGCAACAATCTATGTTCTGGCGTGGTGGTTGGCTAACTTCCATCTCGTTTACTTGTTGCCCAAGCTCACCCCTTTCCAACCTGGATCACAGAGTATCCACAGGGTAGCAAACGCTTCATTTATCCCCACCTCTGTGATGTAACTTCGTTGGGAAGCCGTTAAGCCCCGGGTGTTTTGACATTTCAGAAATTGTTTGATGTGAACGACACGATGCAGGTGGTAAACAAGCGTTTGTCAGCGCGCATATACCTGGTAGGTTTGATTGGACTGTCGTTGGCAATCCGCGTGGTGAGCAATCCACATAAACTGAGAGCATCATTCAATTGAATACCACTGTTGGCCACTGTTTTACGGGCCCAAGTGTTGTCACACAAAGCAGGAAATTCAGGGAAGATTTACAATTTCAAAAACCAAATCCAGTACGAAGACACTTCTGTTAACGACGGGATTCAAGCTGCCACCGTTTGGAGTTGATTTTTTTCAAAATGGTGATCCTTGTTTTGACAGGTGCAAAGATTTCTGACACGTTGTTAGGCCACTGTTGATACGAATGGATGAACTGGATTGAAAATATATATCTTGTGTTGAAAAAAAGTATTCGCCAACAGTGAAATTTCGGTGTAGAAAAAAGTGGAGAGTTTTCTAGAACAACGGTCCAAGTCACATAGCCCACACACTACGATAAGACTGTGAAAGAAGTCGATCTTAGTAAATAAAATTCAATGAATTTTGATTGGAAACTGACAAATTCCCCCCATTGAGTGTAAGGACTCACACATTGGAAGCCTATCCCTCTGGATAGCTGGTAGAGTTGCGCTAAAGCGAGTTATCACTGTTGAACACCGACGTTATGCTGTCGATAAAGAGAATGAGAAAGTGGAGAATGAATGACAGAACTACGGGACATCCCCATGTTGCTACCCCATTGAAGGGGAGCTTGGTATTATTCCTACCCACTTCGCCCTGAACTTTTTATAGGTTCGGATGCGTGCATGAATGAACCATCTGCCTGCCTAGAACCGGTGAGCAACCAGGATTTGTGGGTACTTGATGAGATTCACGTAAATCACTATGGTTCATTCTTTCTATCTAGTCATGGCAATCAGACCCTGAGCATGTTTCCGCCACCTTATTTTGTTCATTTCGTAGGCTGAGGCGACCACATGTTTAATGTGTGCAATACTTTCAAAGAAAATATCTAACCAAGTGAAACTTTTGATTTACTGATGAGTGAAAAATTACAGTCTCGAAGTTTCAAGAAGCCCAGTCCCAAATGAAAGCACAGAGGTTATCTCAGGGCACCCATTTTATGAACTGCTCGGGATTGTCATCACAAAGTGAGTTTTTGTTAGCAGTTTTCGCGTGTATTAAGACAACCAGCTCCGAACGTAACCGGACTACATCACAGCCAATGGAATAACCGTTTACGTTGAGAGGCAGACTTCATTGGTTGTTCTTCACTCGCCCTTGACAGATGAGTTGTATTCTTAGTAGCATTCTTTTGACCCGCTTGTACGCAACGGTGATCAATAAATCAGCCGATTTGCACGTTCATTGGCTTTTTCTGGTTTGGCCAAGCGCCTCAGGGACACTATTTTGATACACTGATGGCTTTATGACTCCTCTGTTCTTTCATCCGTAAGTGCTATTCCCTCTGGTTCACCTAGCAACGTTACGCGACCTAACCTAAGTGATCAAAACTTGCTGAAATGCCTTAGGACATTGAGCAACTCAATGTGTTGAACATGCAGTGGCTCTAAAGGTGACTAATTTCGGTGATCATCGTCCAGTGTACCATCGTCCAACCCCAGAAGTTCTGGGTTATACGTAATGCAACTTCATTCTGTCTGCTGAGTTCTGCTAGAATTGTTCGCTATCTGTGCCAGTAAAGTTCCACCTTAATGTCTTGTGCACTCCGGAACGTTAAACTTGCAACTGTGTTCACGCGACAGTGACCTTTTGTGATCACCTAGCTGACTGATGGGTAGCATTGGCTAGGCATACGTGTGTGTCTATGGTTCATCCTTCGGGTCACACGAACGTCTGAATATTTCTTTTTATTCGCTTCTTCCTTCTTTACACAAACTTTCTTGTCCATCTCATTATCCAATCCTCTGGGCGAGATGGCTCAGGAAGGTCCGTGGTTCGAACCCGACCCTCTCTACTTCTGGTGTCTAGGCATGAGCAACTTGGCTGTATCCCTGCCCTCACGCTTTCTTTGGATGTCATCGCAGCTAGGCACTGAAAGGATGTTACAGCAGAAAGCTAACTATATCAGCTGATCAAGGAGTGGATAGATCAGCTGACCGGACAAGCAGTCTAAATCATTGCGTTTCCGAGAGCAAGACAGCTGATCAAGGCGAACATTTTTATGGCTTATTGCAACAACCTTGGTGAACTTCGGAATTCTTGTTTTCTGCGGCAAAGAAAAACAGTAAATATTGATCTGAGCTTTAGTTGATGCTCGGTGGCGAACAAAATTCCAGCTATAGAGGACTATGGTGGTCTCCGCCGGGAATTCGGTCAGGCTTTTTGAAAACGATAGCTTTGAATTTAGGGAAGCAGGTACTCTCTAAGTCTAGTGGTGAGATTACTGGTTCTATTAATGTAACTCGTTCCGCAGTTACGCACAGAGTTCGATTCATCCCCAACAGGTTGTCTTCCTCTGACTGAAAGTAGAGGCAACCCATGAATTCGGTCGGGAACCGGCAGTTCCGCCCCAATGTATGTCCGCAGAGCACTACAATACAGTTATTGTTGTTTTGTCTCGTTTGAAATGTACCTCTGTGCAGAAAGTATTCTTGGATGCAGTGTCTAGTTCGCTGCGTTCAACTCCCCTCATGTTCGTCCTTAAGAAGTGCGAAGGTCACCTCTTTGATCTGTTCGTCGAGCTTCAAAGTTGGATGGCATGGTTGGGTGGGTTACCCGTTCCATCCCAAGATTTCTTTTTTGATTACTTCAACCTCGTCGGCTAAAGAGCCCTGTCCAAAGGTTCACTAGACAGTATTTTCGCAGTTTTTATGTTTGCAAACAGGAAGGCTGAATAAATTAGCCTGAAAATGTAGGTTTTTTGTGGGCCTTCGGTTTAGCAGACTCACATTTCTAAGCATGCAGAAAACGTCCAGAGTCAGCACTATTTTGATACGCTGATGGCTTTATGACTCCTCTGTTCTTTCATCCGTAAGTGCTATTCCCTCTGGTTCACCTAGTAACGTTACGCGACCTAACCTAAGTGATCGAAACTTGCTGAAATGCCTTACCACACTGAGCAACTCAATGTGTTGAGCCTGCAGTGGCGCTAAAGGGGACTAAGTTTGATTCAGACACAACAGGTTGTCTTCCTCTGACTGAAAGTAGAGGCAACCCATGAATTCGGTCGAGAACCCGCAGTTCCGCCTCAATGTATGTCCGCAGAGCACTACAATACAGTTATTGTTGTTTTGTCTCGTTTGAAATGTACCTCTGTGCAGAAAGTATTCTTGGATGCAGTGTCTAGTTCGTTGCGTTCAACTCCCCTCATGTTCGTCCTTAAGAAGTGCGAAGGTCACCTCTTTGATCTGTTCGTCGAGCTTCAAAGTTGGATGGCATGGTTGGGTGGGTTACCCGTCCCATCCCAAGATTTCTTTTTTGATTACTTCAACCTCGTCGGCTAAAGAGCCCTGTCCAAAGGTTCACTAGACAGTATTTTCGCAGTTTTTATGTTTGCAAACAGGAAGGCTGAATAAATTAGCCTGAAAATGTAGGTTTTTTGTGGGCCTTCGGTTTAGCAGACTCACATTTCTAAGCATGCAGAAAACGTCCAGAGTCAGTACTGGATGTTTTGATTCTTCATCACGTGATTTAAATAAAACTGTTCATCCAATGGACACATCGAGCGAGTATGTTCGATGTTCCTAGCCATGTTTGGCATATCATCCGCGTGGAGTCGACTGTCGGTCAATTGCGAAATACAGCCTACGGGCTGTCTCTTCAGGTTTGCCACAAAAAATTGACTAGAACTTGGCACAATGGGCTACCTATCTCAGCGATATTGACTAGTTGATAAGGCGGGTTCAAGGATTTGAGAAAACATTTTCAGTGCACAAAGGTAGCAGTTAGTTCAGGAAATCCGTCAAAATTTGATGAACGTTTTCCCAATCAGCCAGGGAACAGTCATTTCTTATCAGTGTCTGTCCACATGTACCAACCAATGTTATGTCGATGTTTATTATCCGTCCTGGCTCTAGGTTTTCCCATGCTCTTGCAATAAATCAGCCAGTTCCTTCAAAGAAGTATTTTCAATTACCGTCTGCTTCATATACATTGTATTTTGTGATTCTTGCACCCATCCGAAAGAAACCCGCACTGACAATGGACATTCCAGCGATGCCATAATTAACTCTGTGGCTATCTAACCGAGTGGCTGTACCTAGGTGCGTCTTCAGAGCTCTAAAATTCTCGCCACATGACCCTTTTCATGCGTTATGGGACAAATGTATTCAGCTAACGCTTCTGCCTGTGCTAAACAGCGTACGATAACTCTCAAGTGGATGACAGTCGCGTAATTTGTTTGATCAGGTCTGAATATGCGTTGGGTTGTGGTCTCGTTTTTTGTATCCGACGGTTTCATTCGGCGCATTCAAATCGACAGTTTTGTTTCGCCCTTGTGATTGGTCTATCAATCAACCAATCAAGAGGAATAAAACCAGACCATGAATCACGAAGAAAACAGCCCAATCACAAAAAGGCACAGGTTGAACAAAGCATGATGCCACCTCTCATGGAACATCTTGAGTTTCAGGTTAGACTCTGAATGCCTCCTATTCAGCTGACTGAAAGCTTGTGTACTATGGCGCTAGGTGCCGTCAGGTAAAGCCAATTCGTAATTTGTGAGCTGTCCGTATGTTTTTTCTTCAAGCCAAACCCGGTAATCTTGTCTTCAACCCGATCTCGTTCACCAATCGGACTTCTTGCGTTACTGTATGTGAAATTTCCTATGGTATGAGGGAGCTCTTGGCCATCATTACAGCGATCTCAGACACCTGTCCACTTCTTAATCAGTAAGCTTGAAAACAATGATGGGTTTATCTGACCTTCAGTTTCTCCCCCAAGTAACTACACTAAACTTCACCGTTTATTGTATTCCTCAGGTGCCAGGCCCCGGGGGACGATCATTCACCTTCTGTAACCTAACCTGTCCTGGTATGGTTGATTCGTATTATCTCTACCTTTGTTCAGCGCCATCTGGTGACTTGCCGATCGGTCACTTGTATCCACATCGGGTCAGACCATGCCACAGTTAGCACGAAAAAGGTTTCTCAATTCACTGCCGGTTAAATCACCCCCTTCCCTGCAAAAATTAACAATGCTTTCATCGATGCATCGACAGACAGAACTGCAGCTTGAAACTGCTTTGTTCTTGTTCGTTTGTCCTACAACGAACGGACAATTTCTCTTGGCTTCTCCGCATAACCTTCGATATTTACTAGTTAATTCATCCCCATGCAGTGGTGATCATTTAGAATGCAACTTATTTAAACAGTACACAACAAAATATTCTCACTAACCTTTCCTATCGATTAAGAAGACTAATTTAACGGAAAATTGCAATAATTGATCATTAGAAACTTGAAACTTAATGAGACATATGGCGTCGCCATAAAACAGCTATTTGGATGGGTGAAAAGGCACAATTCTACCTCAAATCCGTCTGTTTATAGCACTTCAAGTTTCTGACAATTCCCACCCCAGGTGTAGCGATCAGGTAACGTAATTTTTTTATATTCCTGATACGATTTTGCCCAGATAATCTTCCCCAATTTTGCTAGCCCCCCCCCCCAAAAAAAACGGTTGCCCTCAACCCCCGGGGGATGGAAACTTATCACGCCATAAAAATCTAGAAGCCAGTATCGAAAACCGCCAAGCCTAGTTGGCATTATGACATTCTGATCAAAACCGATTAATCTTGTTTGACATATCGATATTTATTGAGTCAAATTGTCTTGGATCATTAGTCATGTGTGATTTCTAATGGCGTTGGAGAAATTTCTTGATAAACGGAAAGTTTTGAATTTGGGGCAGT